AGTGACACTGAAGAGTTAGGTTTAAAGATTAAAATTAAATTCATATATTTGTTCGTTTTATTTAGACTAATGCAAGTGTGCAAATATTTCCATACGTTTAAAGCGGTATTCATGCGACAGCATATTATATGACAGACAACGTACTAGTTATGTATATATGTACGTAGTATATATTCATATAATATAGCAATTGGAGTAATAACAATTTAGTGACGAGTCCGGAATATCAGCTACCGAATTTCTCCGGATAAATGGAGTTCCACTACCTAACAAGCTCCGCGAGAGATCGTCGAAGATCTCGGAGGTGCAACTCGCAGGAACTTGTCGAAGGAAGGGATGAAGCAAAGTTGAAAGCGGGAGGGTATTCCACAGAACGTACGTTGGGGGATATAACGTAGTTAAGCACCCACTATTTTTCTTTCACGATGCAACTTTGTGCATTGCGAAAATTCGCCGATCGTTTTCCAGAAAGAGAATATGAAGTCTACATGTTTGAATTTCTTTGTAGAATTTATTATTTATTTAATATTGATATTTTATTTTATTTTAATTCAGAATTTAAAATGTGATACACACACTGAAAAAGTTTACTAAATCTTAATACATGTTTCTTTAGTATAATATAATACAAAAGAATAGTACTTTAATAGAACAAATAAACATAAACTTTCAGTAAATAAATATTTACTCAATAATAAATGATAGTTAAATCAAATTATAATAATTTTTGTATCAAATATTTACATTTAGACATTTAGTAAATATTTATTTAAAAATATTCCAACAAATATTTATTAAAATTTAGTTTTTTTTAAATGTAGATGTTAAAAATGCGTCTGATGCATAGATTCTAATTATATGAATAATATTTTTAATCATAATAATACGCGTGTTAGTCGCGTATGTTCGATTCAGCAAAATCTGTGTCGTACCATAATTTTAAATCTATTGCTATTAAAGCTGAAGTACATAAATATACGTAAGCGCATAATTTTTACTCCAATGTAATACGACGACCGTTCCATAATTTTCCAGCGAAAACTTTCGCCAAATTGACATATTTATCAATGCCATGAAAAAAAGAACAGTGCAAGTTATATGATTTTTCCAACGCTGAGGTTGTCAATGTCAAATTCTTACTTCCATAACGTCGAGTTCATGCGCGTTAAATTATAATGTTATTTCGTAATTGAATAAATATATCTCGCAATTGTTGCAAAATGTTTGTTCTCGCCGCAAACTCGCGGCGAACAAAAGGTGTCGCTCTTTATAAGAGCGTAAAGTCGAGTGACTTCGAATACGGTGGCAATAAAAGGCGACGCGATAAAGCCGAGATGGCAAAGGTGGAGGTTTAACTCCCCGGTAAAAATGCGCCGCGCTCTATTTTCCTTTAAACCGCGCGGATTTCGCGATTTCCGACGCGGTATTGCGCGTCCCGCCGCGAAATCCCCGCGACGGTAAAACTGTCGAAACTTAAGCACAATATCACCGCAGCCGTTTGACTTACGATTGCGACTCTATTGCGACCCGCGGCTTATCCGACGCGATTCCGGGTCGCGGACGACGTTCTTTCCGCGTGCGATACGAAAATCTCGTCGCGTCGCTCCGCGACACGTCGCACGATTCCGACGCGATTTCTTGATGAATCGGAAATATAAATACATGCCAATTGTACAGATATTGAATGAATAATGCTCGTTAATACTTAATACGACTCTCACTTTGCACATTATTGCACTACAATATATGAATTCATTAATTATTAATACGAAATATTTATTGAGTAATTATTAATAAAGTCAACGCCTCCAGCACGCTCAATTTATTCCAATAAATTCACACAAATTCTACGCTTTTTAAATGTAATAACGCAGAATTATGTATTTAAAAATATTATATATTATGTCATACGTAATTAGTTTCATTAAATATGAATAAAAAAAGAGTCTAGTGTTTAATTCGAATATAAATTTGAAGTTTTAATTTACATGCTCAGCGAATTCGAGAAGATGCAATTTGGAAGGATTTTTTTCTAATTAATTTAGTAATTTGTATAGCACACGTTTCTTTACAAGTAAGATCGTATCATCGGAAAAATATAAATTAAAAATAAAAAAGCGTATGTTTTTTAAATACTTATATTTTTATAAATTGCGTTCTCTTCTCGACGCGATTTAAAGAATCTGCATTTCTGGTCCCTAAAGCTGTGGAAAATTAAATGAGACACAATAATACTCGCAAACTCCGAAACGTATCGTTCGCATTTTATTTCGGAGGAAATTTCGTATTCCGCATATATTACTAATACATATATCATTTATTCATACGTATATTATTACTTACACGTATATTATTTATACATTATTATCTCTCTTCCTTTTGTTAAAAGAAATCAGAAGCTTACGTTGCAACTTAATTGTTAAATCGGCACTTAACTTATGCACTTATATTATGCTAATTGCGTTCTAGTCTCTAAAAAAAAAAGACAAAATAATTAAATTTCTAAATAGCTAAATCTAATTAATGCTCACGATTTAAAAGGACACATAGTGACACTTTACAAGACGATTTAATTGTAAGAAAAACGATCGGCCAAGGATCGTTTCCGCGGTAAGCAGTTTAAGTCGAAACCGCATAAAACGGCAAGAAATTTCGGTATCCTCGCTCGCGAAATCCGTAGCTTTATTACGCGAACCTGGCACTGGCGGAATATTCACCGCGCGCGTTCCCCGTTTCTCTTCTGGCGGAAACGTTTATTTTTGTTAGAAATTCAACGCGAGTGCGCGCGTACATTCTCACCGTGGAGGGTGCAGTATTTTTGTTCTCTCCCTGTATATATACGAGAAGAGAAAGATACTGCATCGAGTGGTGCGGCGGCTCTCGAGTGAATTTACCGCGCCCATTGCGATACTGTTAAAGGCAACGCCATTAGACGTACGTACGTACGTACGTACGTAGCAGCGACGGTAACAGACGTATCGCGAAACGTACGTACGTATCGCGGTGGCAATAGCAGTCAGACAGTCAGTAAATATGGACCGAAGTAGATACCATTAAATCCAGACGCGATACAGCCGGCCGGCCGGCTGTTGCTGCTGTTGGCCCGTACTTCGAATCGTTCGTCTTAAATTGCTCCCATTAAACGCACGTACGCGCACGTAAATCCTCACGGTGTCGGCTACCGCCGCGATTCGATTATTCGTCCTATAATTCGGCTCGCCGCTCTGTCTTGCACCGATGTGCATTACACTGCTGCTGCGTGTTTGTTCATTATGTTTCGTTGTCGTGACGTTGATCGATCTACCGCCGTGAGATTGCACGGAGCGTTTGGGAAAGTCGCGTGTGGATAGAAATCACGTGAAGCGTTTTCGTTAAATTAATCTTAAATGAAAATCATCGAAAGAAGGTCAGGTAATTATATCGCAATTTTTTGTGCGTAAAGTTGGTGAATAATATAAATAAATTATATATTATTGGAAAGGTATTAACACTCCGATAAAACACAATCAATATTTTGATTCTAATAAATAAATTTTAAAATCTATAAAAATAAGTAAAATACCATTTGATTTCTATAAAGTAAAACTTGTTGTTAAAGCTTTCACGAGTACACAGGAATTTTGTCAGATTCTTATTTGCAGTCTGGAATAATATTAAAATTTGCATTGAAGTTCAAAAATTGCTGATGGAAAATGTAAAATTTCACATGGTCGACGGAGGATTAATAAAACGGAATATATGTATATCTCTATGGAAAACTTAAAAAAGCGTATGAATAATTTAGAGTAAGTATTTTATTTTTTAAGAAAATATATATCTAAATGAGGAGAGAGGGTTTTTGAAAATATATTACCGAATTTAGAGAGAGGATTGATACTGTGATGTACTTGCACAGACTGTGCGTGAATATTTTCCTCTCAACTTCAATAAAGCTGTATTTTAATGAGAAATTTAATTAAGAAACTAATTAAGTAGTTTAACTTAAAATTAAATGACTTGATAAAATTAAGATGAGGATAAATAAACTAAATAAGATCAGACCTCAATTATTCTTTAATAAATAGAATCATTAATCACAATTTTAATTTGACAAAAATATTTAATTCTGAAAATTTAGGCTTTCGCAATATCTTTGATGTATTGTTGTTTTCTTGAACTACCCCTTTAAGAAAGATTAATGTTACGATGAAAAATCTGTTCCAAGTTATTCCGAAAGTTTTGTCCGCAAAAAGAAAAGACTAAACTTTTTCGTGATTCCGTTCTCATTTCGAATCGTATTTCATTCAAAGTTTCTTGTCATTGTTATGAGAATGGTCGTGTTCTTTGTTATAAGATTGATAAACGATGATGAGAACCGAGACAGAAATTGCCGTCAAATATTTTTACATCTCTCGCTTTTACTTAGAGGCAAAATTCTGTTCGTGATCCGATTCGACAGACCTACCATTAGTTTTAAATGATGCCTCATCAGCTAATTCAATTAAATCTTTCTTTTCTCTCCTCCAATTTGATAAGTTCTCATTTCTCGTATCAAATCAAACTTAAATTGTTCGGTGTGAAATAAGTATATCTTCACGAGCAGCAACAAAATTAAATAAACTATTATAACAAAAATTATACAAAAGAAGAGTAAACATATTAAATTTATTTATTTCTAAATATCTTTTATTTAAAAGTTTTGGTTACAAAAAGTTCTTATATTTTGTCTTGTTTTAAAATTGTATTATATAAAAATGAGAAAGCAACACCGAGAGTTTAGAAAAAATATGTATATATAGACAGTTTACATTCTTTATAATTTACTATATATATCATAAATATTTATTATAAAATTTTAAACTTTAAATTATTAAAGTTTTAGTTCATTTTTCTGTATGCGTCGAAACTTTCGTCTGCGATATACGCTATGCTGGAAAAGATTGAGAAGAAAGTTTTTCATTTTCATTTTCTCGTTCACGATACAATCCAACTGATCGACAACATTGCGCTTTGTGCTTCAGGGAACCCAACTGCAAATTGAGATCTCTGAACGTGTCCAAATGTCTTCTGGGCGGTTTAGATGCCGGCTGTTTAGGCGAGACCGTAAGAAAGGCCCGCAATTTGGATGCTTTGAGGGCCGCTGGAGCGTCGAGACCAGCCGACGTAATGCCCCTGGTGTTGGCTTTGACAGAAGCACCCTGTTTACAATTACTAGACTTGTCTAGTCCCCGACTGGCCCTAGATGATCATCCTTCAAGGCTGTTATGTCACGCTCTGGCAAGGAATACGACCCTTAAGCTGCTCAGTCTGGAAGGCTGGACTTTCCGGATAGAGGTAAGCGAGGTCTTGTTATTATTCATGTGGCTTGTTAGTTACGCCTTCGTCACGAACATAGTGAAAGAAAATAAACAAACGAAAGATAAAATTAATTAAACTCTTATAAAGCAGTAAGAGATTAAATTTTGCGTTATTTAAACCTACTTTTGGAATCTTCAAATGTAAATATTAACAATGATAAATAAATTCCTAGGAAAAGAAATTCTAAATATATCTAAGAAATAAAATGGGTTAATAAGAATTAGTGCTGTAAGGTTTGTAATCCTGTGCGATTAATCAATTATAAAAAGCACTTTATCTGAATCGAAAATGTATTAAAAACATGGTAACGTATGTTTCAGCTAACTTTTTAGCCACCTTCAAACGCTAATTATAAAGAAAATAATAATTAAGATGTATTTAAAGAGATTACGGTGCTTTTAGCAATAGTCTTCATGAAGTGATCAATCATTTTTCCAATTCTTATTTCTAAAATCATCGAGTTAATTTTATAAAATCATTGAGTTAAGATATTGATAAAATTAGAAACATATATAAACATTTAGTAATCATATTCTTTATGTTTAATTTACGTCGACATATTTAATTCAAAGAATAACAATTTTTCAATTAGATAAGAGTTCTTTCAGTATTGTTATAATAAATAGGAAAATTCATTTCTTAACAATTAAACTTCCTGCACTTTACAGAGAGTAATTTCCATGTAAGATTCGTTATTATTACATTCCGCGAATAAACATCATGTAGAGAAAGGCGACGAGAAGCCTAACGTTATTTATTTTCGTATTTTCGCTTGCGAGGGAGAGCAGAGCCTGCAAAGGCGAGATCACGGGTGGTGAGATAAGGATAAATTAGAAGAAGCGGAAATTATTTGCTCTTCCGTGCAGGCGTGCAATACGGAAAAGTGCGAGACGATAATGTTCCACCTCCGCAACCGCGGAAACTCACAATAGCACGACTAAGAATGGAGAAAGAACCGAACATCCAACTAATAATCTCGATAACAATGTCGGAAAAATTCTCGTTCGTGCTATTGAAGACTTTCGTTCTCGGAATCCTATACATAGATTGATAGTATAAGAAGTCGCTAATTGAGCATCTTTTCTGAAAAGATCGACGGCATGCTGAGATAAAGAAATATTCAAAGATAAATGCAAAATTTAGCTGTAAAATATTTGTATGTAAAATCTATAGACCTAAGATTTATAGATTTAAAAAAAACAGATACAAAATTTAGATGTATAACATGAAAAATCATTTAGTGAAAAATCATTTATACTGAAAAAAATTTACTAAATTTTAATAAATATTTATTTGATGTGCTAACAATAAGTGTTTACTAAATATAAATGTATATTTACTTGGTACAAGAATCATTAATTTAGCTATCGTTTTTTTATTGAGTAAATATTTACAGTAAATAAATATTTAGTTAGTATTATTGAAAGTATTATAAGATTTTGTCAATTTTTTCTAAAACATTTATTTTAAAGGGTATAATTCTAAGACGTCATCATTTCAATCAACACCGACAGTGAATTATCAAGATTAGTGTCAGAGCGACCAATTAATTAGTATTAATTAGTATTAATTAATTGCAATATTCACTCATTGTATTCATCAGTCATTTCGCCGTGCGATGCAAAATTGCATTTAATATAATCTATAATATATATATTTCATCGTATGTTGATATCATTCGGCTCGTATCGAGTATTCTTCATCCTACTAGCAATAACAGAAGTGGCGATATTCTCAAACCATTAACCGATAATCGTCGACGATGAAAACGTAGAGATCGCGCAATGTTCTGACCCAGCGAATACATCCGACGTCGCAATCTTCGCGTTCGATAAACGCCCTTACGAGCGGCATATATTCGTGCTCTCGCCTTCGTAGCAACGATAATAATTAATATTTACCGGGATCAAGCGAGGAACGGTATTAAATAACGTCAGATTAACATGAACGTGAAGCGTCGATGTCGTAGTAACGTGATGCTTAACGCACATTGCGTTCGCAATATTCTAGAACGAATTCACGTAAATTTCATGAGAAACAATTTCTAAATTTAACAATCGTTGTATAACGCGAATTACTTCACGGAAAAAAATGTAAAGTAATATGCGCTAGAATTCTAGTAAAATGAAATAATCCATATAAAAGTAGACACTCACTTGTGTTAAATTTACTTTTCTGATAAATGAGCGATCGTCATATAGTCAAATTATAAATGTAAAACACTTTTTACATTTCGTAAAGTAAATTTTGGAACTTGTTTATGCTTACAATCTTGAAAATAGAATGATTTATTTTACAGTAAGGTAATAATTATTTCAATAGATATTTACTATAATTATGATGTATTTTTTGCTTTATACCTCCGATATTTTTACTTTCAATAAGTAGAATTTGTCATAAGTTTGGCAAAAATAGTCAGAATATTTTTATTAGTTTTGTTAGATAAAAATTACTCAACTATTTTTCTCCGTGTTTATATTAAGATTGTTGGCTGTCTTTTTTTCTAATTTAATCGACAAAAAATATGAGAGAATTCGTGTGTTTCTGATAATATAATTATTCTAAAAACAAAATCTTTTAAAATATTTTAGCAGCAATTACACACTTATATTATATTCAAATAGACAAATTGAGTTCGTGTGTCTTTTAATTTATAAACAATATTTAGAGAATATATTAGGTGTTGGAATTAATTCGTAGCGTTTTACAAGTGATGGGAAGTACTTTCATTAATGTATTTTTTAATGCTCATGTGAAATAAATAACATTCTTTCATTAAAAAACGCTACGAATTAATTCCAACACCTAATATAATTTGTTTAATTTATTGCGATCTCCTAAAGATACTTTTGATCAAAGCACCTATATGTTCAAACTTCGTAAAAGACGAATTGCTTTCCGTTGTAGTTGTGTCCAAGTATATCTCACGGAATCTATAAAGGGATGTAACAGGAATCGTTCTCATTGGAAACTGCAATATCGTTTCGATACGAAGTTCTCTAGTTAGATTCACGAGTCAATATTGTTTCCATTTTGTTAAGCTTTGAGACGTCGAGAAGAGCTGGGTAAATGAAAAGAGAAGCGAAAGAAAGAGAAATAGATAGATAGATAGATAGATAAATACATAGAACCAGATAGAGAGAGAGGGGGGGGGGAAGGGAGGAAGAAGAAGATAGCACGCTTCAGAATTTACAGGAGAAGTCGGATCTGCGGTATGCGTTCGGAATCTGCAAAGCTGCACTCTCGGGGTGTACCCTCGAGCTTTCGAAGAAGTTATCGAACGCTTCGAGAAATCGACGAAAGAAATCAATAAAGGTGGCCTTTGGTCCGCCAATAGTAACTTCGTATCTCACAGCAAAAGAGAATCGACAGGAACTCTGCGGTTTTCCGTCGAGTGTCTGATCTGTCTGCTCTTTCGAACCCGGAAATTGCCCGGGTAAAACATTTTTGTAGCTTTTAACGTAGTAAACTAACTTTTTTAAACTTCACTGTCGTGAAAAATCAAAGTAGCGCAGCATGTCATGACCACGAAATCCCGAAGAACTTTGTGAGTTACGCTTAGATGTCTATCGCACGTGAGAAATTCTGAACTGTAGCTAACACAAGCTGCCTCTTAGTTACATTAATAATAATTAATAAATATTAATTTAATATTTCATAACTTAATACACAATATATATTTTTAGAAAAAAAATCACGATATAAATAAACGCAGGAATCCTCTTTCAAGAAATTTTTTCTTTATTTTATAAATCGAGATTATATTTAAGATTGAAAGATAATTATGTATGAAAAGAACAATCGATTTTTTTGCATGCCTATAATTCGAGAGAAAACGTATTTCTTCCTCGAGATTAAAAACTTGAGGAACAACTTATCGCGTAAGACCTCGCGAGACAGCGCATATTTATCGCTATTTATTTACCTGACAAATATTGTTTACAAGCCTGGCGAGCTCCTGGTCGCAATTAAAGACTTTCAAAGTACATGCTAACGAGCGCGGTCGCTTCCGTCCCTCGTGCGACGCAACAACTTCGTGCGTTTAATCGCTCGACATTTAATCACATTCATAATGGGAAAATTTTGAAGTGTACACTCCATACCTTATAGACCGGCTAAAGATGCTGGAAACCCGTTTTCAATTTTAACTTAAAGTATATTTCGCTGTATATACCAAACGCGTGCAACGGTTTATGAAACAAATTCCCATTACGATCCTCTTTATCATGATATTAAATATGAAATATTAATTATTTTTTATTGAGATGAAAAAGCGCTTTGTATTAAGGTATCTTATAAACATAACGTTATTCAGAACTATGGAAATTTTCTTAAAATTTCATACAACATCAAAAACATAGAATTTCTCTGGATTATAATTTTTATTAGAAAAGAGTAAATTGATTTTTATTAAACAATTTATTATCTTGGTCTTTTTTCTCTCATTTCTAGTAATAATATGGTAGAACGAATACGAGCCAATTTTGCTCCCTATATTACATACGGTAGCCTTTTTAGTCACTGCTCGTATTTATCCTTTTCGTCGCGTTTTCTCTGGAATCGCTTGGCGACGAGCCATTATCTCATCAAGATACAAGTAGCGAAACAAAGACGATCTTGCTTATAAACGACTTGAAATTAGGATCGAAGGAACGATGGAACGAAGAAGGGTGAAAGAAGAAGGACGCAGCCGCGAATAATCCCAACAGTCGCACACTCCGCGAGTGGATAATTAATTATCGGCGATTCCGGTTCTCGCTAAGAGAAGCGTGGAATAAGGGTGGCGATGGTGGGCGCGCGCGCGCGCGAAGGGTGGCCTCCGGGATAGCTTGAGTATTGTTTAGACGCTCACTAATTACGGAACAGTCAGCCCAGGAAACTCGACCCGCCGACGGAAGCGGGGCGGCACTGGAGATACCTTCAATTTATTTTGCTCTTACGCGACCTGGACCCCATTGTCTTTGCTCGTTTATTAA